ATTTAATCTGGACTAAATCAGGCTCTAGATATTGACTAAAAATCTTCTGATTCTATACATTTCTTTTGCACTTTAATGGAAACATTTGTTTAATTTATACATTTTGTCGCATTATAAAATAAAGTTATTAAACCTGTTAGGAGGACAGTAATTATTACAGTGATTATACTGCATTTCTGTGATAAAAAGCTTGCTACCGTGAGATATGAGTGTTTATCACTCAGACTATTATGAAATATACCGCTTTCTTACAGAGAAATGATTACGACGGTATAAACTAGAAGGAAATTTTCTGTCATTTCTCTGGTATTTATGAAGATTGTTTGTTCACTACAGGAGTTAAAGAGACAAAACTCGCTTTTACTCGCCATTTACCCTGATGTGGAACACAAAAGAAGACATTTTGAAGACTGTTGGGAACCAAATAGCTTTGGTCACCATTGACTTCCACTGTATGAAACATGAGAAAGTCGTGCAGGTTTGAATAAATGATGACAGAACGATCATTCATCTCAGCGTGATTTCATTTGAACAAATAACCACAAACATGAGCTCATCCGCAGCATTTGTTCCTGAAGCGTCGCCGTATGATGTTCGGCTCACACACACACACACACACACACACACACACACACACACACACACACACACACACACACACGTGTTGTTTCACTGTGAGTAAGACCTGCTGTTGTTTTTGTCAGGATAAAAGTCAGACGTGACACAGTCATTAGAGACACGTCGTTCTCTCAAACACACTCCACCTGTACACTGTAAAAAAATCATATTCGTGATTTGTTATCATCTTTTATCAAATCAACCCAGATAATTAATGTGGTAACATACTATTTAGAGTTTTTATTTATTAAACCAATCTCCTTCATTGTATGAACAACATTTTTAATGTCAATGAACTCAAATGAAACAATGAAACCAGAAACACGCAACGTACTCGATGAACACACTTCAGAATTATTCCGGATTATCCAACAATAAAAAAAGTTTTGGACTTGGTTCTACACTGTAAAAAAAAATCCGTTAAATTTACGGTAAAAAAAAACGGCAGCAGAAATTTACCGTACGGTGGCAAATTTTCTTAAATTTACAGTAAAAAAAAAACGTATTTCATTATCTGATATAATGTTAATTTACCGACCTATTGAAGTACTAATGTTCTGTTTTGTACAAATTTATTACACTGATAACCACCAATCACAGTGGAGATGAGAGTCACATGATCAATCAAAGCAACAAAATATATATAGAAGCTGCACTGTCATTCACAGTTGAGGTTCTGACAAAATGTTAATTACTGCAGTCTATTTAACATGTTTAATTAATCTGAATCAATTATTTTAAATCGAGTTGAGTGAATGATTCAATGATTCATGTTTAACAGTCACTTGTCGCCACCTACTGGTGTAACGATGTAATCGATACAATCTTCATTTGAAGCAGAAAGTTCCTTTTAAAGGTAATTTAACGAGTTCGTTTGCCCATAAAATCTTTAAGATATTAGGTTAAACTTATTTGGCTTGCTGTCCGCTGGAGAGGGGCTCGATGAAGCAGCTTCAACTCGAGCTCTGATATACCCCCCAGTGGCTAAATGTAGGACCTGTTAATTAAAGGGCAAGGTACCTAAGATGAAGGTGGAGTTTGGGGAGGTGGAGGGATACTGGAACAGCTGATACTAGGGAGAGGTAAGCGGCTGCTTATATACTCTGTTTGTTGATTGAAAGATTGGATGGGCTCGCTCCTCCCTAACTTACGTTTAGGAACTTCATTTAGTCTATTTTGATCACTACTTTAGACATTTATATCCCAACTATGTTTCATATCTATACATGTCAAGTGCTCTCTCAGGATTATAACAGATTTATATGTTCCAGAGTGATTTTATCAGTGGTATAATAGATATTGTTATCATTTAGGAATAAGACCGTGTGGGTGTTATGACAACCTTACTCCGCCTCTTCAAGCTGACGCTCATCTGCATACACGCATAAGAGCCACGCCCACATGCATAAGAGCCACGCCCACATCTCAACATCCAATCAACGAGCAACGCATACAAACAAGTCCCCGCCCTACTTTTTTCTTCTTTGGAAACATGTTACACTCCGATGTATGTCACAACACAGAAGACAAGATCCGATGCAGGTTCTGTTTCATCGCGACTTTATGTCCATTTTTAAGAAAATTAGAATCGATTTTAGTAGAAAGTTGTTGAATAAAGATTTGTGCATGAAGGCGTTCACATGCAGATGTCACAGACTCAGAATGACTCACTCATAATGTCTCTGCGTGTGAAACTTTAACATTGAAAGGAAAATAAGACACGGGCTACTTTCGGGTTTTTAAGCAGAACTTCTGACGTGCGGTTTGAAGCTTTTCTGGCTCGATGTGTCGGCCGTGGAGGCGAGCGCCAGTAATCAGACTCTGAGTGACGCCTCACACTCTCCAGCGAGTCTTCTGGTGAATTAAAGCACCAGTGGGTGTCAGTCAGACGGACTCCTGCGCACACAACGCCATCAATCATCACACTATTGGAAGACCTACGCGTGTTATATTTATACGGATTAGCCAGTTCTAATCGATGATAGCTGGAGCTCTGTGAGTGTGTGTGTGTGTGTGTGTGTGTGGAGACGAGAGATGCTTGTAAATCACACGGATGCTAAAGAGCTCGACTCTGCTCTGACTCACACACACAGCCTCAGTCAAACCACTAATAAAACATTCGTTTTTTAGATAATCATGGTGAAAATCCAGTTTTTAATGTTGTTTATGTGTCTATGTGGTGTTTTTAATAAGACACACCATGTGTAAGTTCATAAGTCGACAGCATTGCTGAGTATTTCCTCCTTAAAACTGCAGTGAACCAAAGACAGTCTCAAAAACATGGTTGGAAATCGCTGGTGTTTCTGACGTCACAAACGACCTTGTAACCAATCAGATCAACGTGTGATCGTCAACCAGTGGATCTCTGAGCTGAGCGAGTGAGTGGAGGCGGGGCTCATTTGCATATTCATAGAGCCGCGCATACTAAATGAGGCGAGGGTGTCGAGTTACATTCAAGATATTTTAAGGCATGTTTTCAAGGGAAAAAACTTGTAAATATGTCATTTTGGTGATCAAAGATGAGTTTTAAGGGATACAATGATTGACTTACATTTTTTCTGAATGTTCTCTGAGAGTTCAAAATGTGCGGTTTATGAATGTTTTTCTTGGTTATACAAACATTAGTTGAACATTCAATTTTGCAAAAAATATAGTAATGTTACTTCTGAATGTACAAATAGTAAAACTTAAAAACCATTAAACGAACGCCCAACTAAATGTTTTGAGAACATTATTAAAGGTAACTTTGAACGAACGTTGTATTAACATTACTTGTCCATAACATATTGGGAACGTTCCCTGTTTGCTGGGTTAGTAATATAGTATATGAATCATCAGTTTTGCACATTAGTTTATCAAAGCACCATGGTATAATCATCTGATATCAACACTGGTGCACCAAAGTGGTCTGGCTTACGGAGCGGGTCGGAAAACAGCATGTTAATGAATATAAAGCTGGCTTTTTATGTTTTTATAAAGCATAAGCTGCTCAGGGATGTACGTTACAGTGTTTTACCACAGTCAAAGTGTGTGTTTCAGGCAAAGCCATCGTTGAGGATCAGATGAAGCGCAGCACAGCTGTGATGTGAGTTGATGTACAGTATATGCATATGTACAGTCGCTATAAGTGAGCCATGCTGCCTCCTACAGGCCAACAGAGGAACTGCAACACATACAGGACAGTCAGAAACACATCGGATATAAACCTGAAACATTTTTGCATGTATGCAATCACCAACTGACATGTTCTGGGGTTCGAATGGGGTTTTAATGTGAAAAACACTGATCAAGCTCACTGAATCTGTGAGGGGGGAAACCAATCTCATGCAAAAGTGATGCGATTTAAATATAAAGAGCAACTAGTCATTATTCCGTAAATACAAAACCTACTCAAACTGACACACCATTATCTATGCATTCATTGACATATCGATTTAAACGTCACTAATGCGCCCTATTACACGGGGAAATGTATTGTTCAGATAAAGCGAGCCCTGTTCCAGTGCGCGTCCCCTCGGGCTCCAGAGACACGTCTGAGTTACACTTCACCCGATGCGTCCAAAAATGAGTCTGAAGCTTAAAACACTCCGTTCGCCACCATCGAAACCAAACACAGTAAGAGCTCCGTTTCAATACACACGCGTTTTACTTCACACACATGCAACTGTGTGCATTGCATATCATGATGATTAAGTTTTGATTGACAGGTCACATCTCAGACCTCATAAAAGCGTGTAAAAACTTTGAATAAACAGGATGATCAGTGGAGCACAGCAATGCCTTCCGTCAGATCCAGAGAGACACCTCACATCCATTAATAAATCAATCGAATGAACTAATGTGTTTCATTAGACAGAAATCCATAAAGAGTAACGCATTAGAAGTCATCAGGTCAGATTCCCACAGAAACAGTGTTTATCTCTCCAAACTGGAGTGTTTGTTTATTCTTGGGCTTGTGAAGAAAAAAATTAGAATAAGGTTGCACAATCATTTTGGAAATCTGGACACACTTGAGTCCGAAAATGCTGGGTTGTTTGTTTCAACCCAACTTTGGGTCAAATATGGACAAACCCATCCGTTGGGTTAATTTTTTAAAATATATTTATTTTTATTTTTAACCCAACGTTTGGGTTTGTCCAAATTTGTTCCGAACATCTCCCGCGACAAACCGCGACCTGACTCTCACAGGATCCGATGTTTCTAACCCAGAACACGGAGCCTGTCATTAGCATTCCTCCGGTGCTCATCAAACTTTACGCGCCTCTCCAAAAGCAAACGCACATAATCCTCGATAGATACACGGTCGCGCTCTCAGCAACGCCAAGTTTCAGACACACGAGCGAAGCCCCAGTCCTGAATCTGAGGGAAACCACGAGTCTTACCTTTAAACACCTGCGCTCGCGCGGACACCAACACCCCGACCGCCGCGAAGACGCACGCGAAAAGTTTGTCCATCGTGTCGGTGTGTGTTCCGTGAGCCCGGTCCTGGTGGTGTGTGTTCCGTGAGCCCGGTCCTGGTGGTGTGTGTTCCGTGAGTCCGGTCCTGGTGGTGTGTGTTCCGTGAGCCCGGTCCTGGTGGTGTGTGTTCCGTGAGTCCGGTCCTGGTGGTGTGTGTTCCGTGAGCCCGGGCGCCCGCGGGCCGAACTCGTTCTGGGAAAGGCTCTCGGTTGTTTCAGGCTCTTGTGGAACTGTTTCTCCGGCTCTCCCGGAGACGCACGGCGCGTGAGTGTGTGTGTGTGTGTGTGTGTGTGAGAGAGA